TTTTAAAACCCCCCCCCCCCCCACCAATCCCAAAAAATAAGGAAAAAGAAACCTAGTATTCCAAATGCAACCGCAAACAAATGTAAACTAATTTCTAATGCATCATAGACAAGTGATGAAGTGCTTGACATTTGAGAAATAAAGTGAAGATGAGAATTTATATAAAGCATTTCATCGAATATGATTACCAAGGCCTAATCATTATAATCATACAACTCTTAATATTTAACAGCTCAATCTTTCTTGATAGAGCCAATTATAATAGTTCTGACTATGTTCCAAACCCTTTGTCGTAAATCTCCTAGTTCACAAATGGGCACATTTGCCTATGATAAAATTGAGGGTGTAAATTCCCAAAGTGCTAAGACAGTAAGTATAAAGGAGATCTTTTTGGTGACCCGTTCAGTATTTGCCACAGTTTCCTTGTCAATATAGTGTTGGTCTCTATATACCATAGAGTTTTCAATTCATACCATCTTCATTTCTGTTGAAAGTTTATTTAACAGATTGTAATTTAGAATCTATCTTAACACATATGTAACTCCATGTTAACAAGATCAATTGTGCTTAACTAGTGCTGGGTTCCCTCCAAGTTCTGAAAATAAAAATCTCCATTTCAAAGTTTTCTATTTTTATGATCGGTCTGCTCATTGCCTACTCTCTTCTCCAGTTCTCCTCAAGAAAGGGTGCCAATCAACAAAGTGGTGTTCAGTCTCCATACCTCAAGTTGGTCTGTGAGCTGCACTTATTCTGGAGAATGTTATTTGAACCACAACATGGTTTTCCAGCTTTAAACACTGAAATGCAACTTCCGTCGGAATAAAATTCCTATAAAGGCAGAAAATTTTAAAACTACTATCCTAATGGTGTCCAATAGAGTGGTAAGGGTGGAAGACTTAAGAATATAAAAATTAGGAGACACGTATGAGTTGGTCTCTCACAAGTGCCTCTCTAGTACTCTATTAGGGGTCGTTTGGTAGGGTGTATAAGAATATTGTTAAATATGGTGTATTAGTACTGTTGCCTTTAGTAATGTTGTGTTAATTATTTTTTATGCATTGTTTGGTTTGGTGTATTAAAAATAGCATGAATATCATAATTTCTAAAAAAAAATTGTTTACAAAAGTACCCTCTATAAATATGGTGGAAATGATGCGGAAAAGGTTTTGAGGGACAATCGTGGCTTTAACCATGCTAATGCATGCATTAAAAATCCTTGCATTGCTAATAACATAGTTTGCTATGTATTAGTTATGCATAGGATAATACCAAATAGAGTGTAACTAATGCAAGTTGAAAAACCATACCAAATAAGGTATTAGTAATACACAAAACTAATGCATGCATTATTATTTTTAGTGCATCCTACCAAACAACCCCTTTAGTGTTGATGCTGGACATGAAAACAGTTTAAAATAGGCAGCATAAAGCTTGGTGTTCATGTTTCCTACAAGTTCTCCTTAACAGCATTTGCTTGGAATGACATAGTATTAAAGGACCAAGCACTTCCCACAATATGATGATATTTGATAACATCAAGTTAGGAAGCATGAGCATTGTTACAGTCTATAATCATAATTTTTCACAACTTCCTTTTTTTCATCAAAGGTTGAACATTTGTTCTTGTAACTAAGTACTAACAGAGTGAGTAGATTACAGTTTCAGAACAACTTACTAAAAGTAGTTTGACATGAGTTGTGTTGTCATGATACACAGCGTAAATATTTCTCGCTTTAAATATCTCCATTGATAGAAATATTTGGATTTGATGAATTAGTTTGACATTGCAGCTGAATCTATAAGCAATTACTTTAGATATGTATATGTCCACGTGGAAATTCTTACTCTTCTGTTGCATCTAGGCCTTTTACCAGAGGCATGGGACAATTTTTTTGCGAAGTATCTGTATCCATCCTTTACTCCAACGGTCTTCCTGTTTGTGGCTGGAACAGCTGGCTATGGAGTGTTGAAGTACCTGCAGAATGAGAAATTTAATAGTGAAAACTGATACTTTTTGCATGTATTATATAGTATTTAGGTAACTTTAGTTTTTTTTTGTCATGTAAACTACAAATGTGAAACTCTGACAATGTAATTCTAAGAAATACTTCTGAAAGTGGATTATACCTCAGGCTAATATGTTATCCTGTATCTCCTTCATACAGTAACAG